ATGTTGTGGTATGGTGTATTGTAGTTAGTATGGCATGTTGTGATATGGTGTATTGTAGTTAGAATGGTATGTTGTAGTATGGTGTATTGTAGCTATAATTGTATGTTGTGGTGTGGTTTGTTGTAGGTAGTATGGTGTGTTGTGATATGGTGTATTGTAGGTAGTATGGTATGTTGTGGTATGGTGTATTGTAGATAGAATCGTGTTTAACTATGCTACTTACAGTTACATCAATAGTTGCAGAAGCGCTGGCCATTCCATCACTAGCAGACACTTGCAGCTGATAAGTTTTCTTCTTTTCGTAATCAAGCTTTCTATTGACCACAAGAGCTCCATATGTTTTCTTTCCCGTTACAGTATTTACAGTGAAAGTACCACTCATGTCACCACCAGAGATGAAATAGGTGATCAGGGCGTTATCACCAATATCTTTGTCCGTGGCTTCTAACTCACTATAAACAACTGTTCCCTTTTGAATATTTTCTGGGATAGATACCGTATATACTGGCTTACTAAATTTGGGTCCATTGTCATTCTGGTCGACAATTAGAATTCTAACAGTGACTTCTTCAGACAGCGCTCCAGGGTTTGTTCCTTTGTCAGTTGCTTGTACTGTGATGCTATAYACATCTTTCGTCTCACGGTCAAACACTTGACGCGTGGTGATAACTCCAGTCGCAGAGTTGATTTGAAAGTTCGGATCGTTGCCTACAATACTGTACTGTACTTCACCTGCAGAACCATGATCCCTGTCTTTTGCCATGATTTTCACCACCGTTGTGCCGAYCTTAGCATTTTCAAGGACCCGGGCGTCGTAGCTACCGAGGTCAAATGTCGGTTTGTCGTCATTGACATCTGTAAGTCTGATGGTGACTTCGCAGGTGGTAAACAGGTTAGTTCCATCTTGCTGAGCTCTCACTTGCAGGCGAAACGTCTTGTCGTCCTGAGGCAATGCTTCATAGTCAAGCTGTGCAGCTGTTGTGATTTTTCCGGTGCTGGGACTGACGCTGAATCTTTCATCAACGTATGAGTTTGCTTTGACSGGACTGTAGCGAACGATGGAGCTTCCTGGGGCTTGTGCTGTGGCAACWATTGTACCGACATCTTCGCCRGTTGCCACCGCTTCGCTTACCTCAAATAAAAAYCCTTTGGGTTCTTTGCACTTAGGTGGCGGTTGGTCAGAGATATAAATCTCAACAACTGTCTCCTTCTCGTGTTCGGGAGTCTGGCTGTCTTGTGCGGCMGGGACGTTKGAGCATGCCACCGTTAAGAGTACTTTACCCACATCTTGAGATTTGAGATCTACCTTCGTCGAAATAGTACCAGAATTTTGATCAATTGTGAATTTGTCGCTGCTAGTCTTAAGAGAATAGCGGATCTTCGCATTCGTACCCACATCTGCATCGACGGCATTGACAGTGACAACTTCCTTGCCCTTTCCTTGGCCGATTTGAGTTGTAGCGATGTAAGGACGAGCCTCAAATTTGGGCGAGTTATCGTTGGTGTCAAGGACCTCAACAGTAAGGAAGCAATAGGTCAGCAGTCGCTCCTCTGGAAGTTTTCCATGCCCTCCGTCCTCTGCCCTCACAATCACAGTATATGAACTTCTTTTTTCTCGGTCGAGACTGGCCGTCGTCGTGATCTCRCCCGTGCGATTATTGATTTTGAAGAAATTCTGCCCCCCAACAGGCTGCAGAGAGAATTCAACCTCACCRTACCTTCCCTTGTCATTATCAGTAGCCTCTACCTTGGTAACGACCTGACCCTTGGAGCGATGTTCTTGTACTGTTGCCTTACCACACGAAGYGAACGTAGGTCTTACCGTATTCACGTGGTCAACGTTGAACCTCACAACTGCATCTGGCCCATAATTGTTATTTTGATCCTTTGCACGAACAGTGACTGTGAACTCGTTTTTCTTATTGTCTTTAGGGATTGRTTGACTTAATCGTAGAACTCCTGTATTACTGATGATTTTGAATTCGGAACCAGAAATGATGGAATAATCTACTTGACCGCCGTCATCGTCACTGGCTACAACCGCGCCCAAATTCGCCGTTGTTTCAGCATTCTCGGTTACACGGAATTCGTAAGCATTGCTAGAAAACACGGGTTTGTTATCATTGGTGTTGGTCACGGTTACAAATACGTATGCAGCAGCAGTGTACTTTACAACACCTGTGTCGGTGGCCGAAACTTTAAGTAGATGCTCTGTCTTCGTCTCGAAGTCAAGCGTTTTCGAGATCATCACCTGACCTGTATCTTCGTCGACGACAAAGTACTCACGAGGTTCAATCTGGTATTTAAGTAAACCCCGCTTGCACTGGCAGGCCGACGAGCAGTCGCAATCCAAGGCCTTTACGGTCACAATTACGGACCCGATGCCTTGGTCTTCTGAGAGAGTCACAGTGTAAAGYAGTTTCTCAAAGTATGGGTAGAAATCGTTGCCATTGAGTACATCGATGACCACTTCAACAGTCGAGGATAGTGGATTGGGAATTTGCTCTATTGCTTCAACTTTAAGTTTAAACTGTGCTGGGCTGTTCTTCATTAACGAGTTCAAGACTACTGTACCATCTGATTTKACRAAGAATCTGTTATTAGGGTCTCCTTCTTTGATTTTAAAATCTAACCTTGCTCCAGACGCGCTTCTTGCTTCGATTTTTCCGATACTGTATCCAATAGGTGCGCGCTCGGAAACAGTGAACTGATAGCTTGCCCGCGAGAAGATGGGAGGTGTCTGAGTTGTYTCTATGTTAATAGTAGCTTTGCTACCGTTATTGCCAGGTTTACCATAGTCAAATGGCAGGGCTTCTGGGCGGAATGATGCTCCGAGAAGAGCCTTCCCAACTTCAATYTTGCTGGTAAATGGATTTATAGTAAATGGAAATGAGCTGTTAAGAAGCTGATATCCAATCTGCCCATTGGAACCACTGTCCAGGTCACGTGCGCTAAGTTGAAACACGTTCGCGCCAGCCCGAGCATTCCTGTTGATACTTGCCTTAAGGGAMGTCATGGTAAAGTAAGGTTTGTTATCATTTAAATCCAMAACGTAGATCTCAACGTCTACATCATTAGTGAGCTTGCTGTCCACCGTTTGTTTCTCKCKYACGGTTATCAAATGAAAAGCTTGCTTCTCAAAATCTAATTGGCCGACTAAGCGAACGATCCCCTTGTTATCGATAGTAAAGTTCGACTTCTCGGGGAAGATGATTTCAAATACGCCCGAGGGGAAGTATTTTGGTACTCGAGTGATGTTACTGCCGACGGGTGTAGACTCTGGCACCATAGCTCTCACGGGTTGTTGCTTCGGYCTGTAATTAACAAACACCATTCTAACATCGGCAGTGCTAACCTGAGCGGGTGAGCCACTATCGGTTGCAATGATCTTRTATCTGTATGGCGAAGGGATGTTTCTAAGATTTCCCTTGGCAATYAGTTGTCCTTGGCTGTCGATATCAAAATTATCATACACGCTTGGTGGAGAGAGCTTGTATTTCACCATGTCTCCTTGATCTTTATCAATGGCGGCAAGACTKGTGACCACMACGCCCTTTGAGAATGGCCCAGAAACTTTYCTGTCAATTTGTCCATCTATTTCACCAGGGAACATTGGTTTGTTATCATTGGTATTGATGATCTGTAAATTGACTTCRACCTGTGCACGTCTGTCACGAGTATCCATGGCAACAATAAYAAGGCTATACTTCGTGGCTTCTTCATAGTCCAGCTCACGTGTTGTAAGGATTACTCCAGTGGCGGGGTTGATCTTAAACATCCCGTTGGTATTTCCTGAGATAATCTCATATTTTAAAGCYTCAGACGTTGCTGCCTTAGCAACGGCAACTCGCTTGTTAGCGGCAAGCCCTTCGGTTACCTTGACTACGATTGGCGAGACAACAAACTTCGGGGGTCCGTCGGGAAGGAAGACATTAATTTCTACATTGACTTCATCGCTCTTTGGTTGATCGCCTCGATCTTTGGCTTTGATCCTCAGGATAAACTTATCGGCTGCTACAGTTGTTAAGGATTTTGCAACTGTRATTAGKCCATTCTCTCGGTTGACTTCGAATGCCTTYTCGTCATTACCACTTACAACTGAATACATTGGTTGTGCATTTTTTGGGCTGTCGAGATCTGTTGCTGCTACTTGGACGACATGGTGTCCAACTGCTGCGTCCAGCGCAACCTTRGCACGGTACAACGGTGCAGAGAACTTAGGTGGGTTGTCGTTCACATCTTCGACCTCGATCTGGACTTCAGTGACAGCTTAAAAAGAATAAAAACGTCAAGTCAAAACATAAAAATACAAGGCATAGTGCGGTGCGCACATAAACTGTCAGGGGGGACTGTCGGAGAGACGGGGGCGCTTCATATCTTCTGTCTATAAGGTAAATAATCCAGTTTCGAATTCTCTTTTGTGCAAGCTTAGTTTCAATCAAGCATAACTTTTTATTGTCTTCTTTGTACACAGAGTGTTTGTATTTCAATAGGATTTCTGCTGAATAAAAGAATATATTACATGCTTTCGAGGTTAAATATTTTCCTTCGCGAATTTTTATTAAGGTAAGGAAATACACTCTGCTCGCAGGGTAAGGGTGCACAAATAAGATCTCGAAACTGGAGTATTACACAAGCACTCTTTACACAGCGATGAAAAAATTRCCGCAAATGCTGCGACTACAACAGTGTTGTATCAAACGTCGTGACCAATATTTCGAAATATATATTTTATGCTATAAATAATAATAATATTTTATACTATATTATTCCTTCGTTTAAAACGATACATACAAATGTGATCAGCGATTCTCGTCTTTGAGTACTGAAATGATGCCATTAATCAATTATAYGTCCCTGGGCTTACCTCCAAGTCTGGTCATTCCGTTGTCTTCTGCTTTAATAAAYAGAATGTGCTTCTTGATGTCTTCGTAGTCTAGCGTCTTTTGTGTTGTTATGATTCCASTTTTTGCACCGACTTGAAACATATCCTTACTCTCGATATCGACACTCTGCAACACTTTGTAAGTGACTTCACCAAAAGAACCAGAGTCGAAGTCTTTTGCAACAACCTTTCCAACTGTCGTTGAAATTGCTTTAAAAATGTCAAAAAATATATTAATATGGTAAAAAACAGTCTGGTGTATAGTGGAGGGATAAAAAGGGAATACTTGGAGTAAAAAGGAGAGAAGGGATTAAAATAAGTGCGAAAATAATAAAAGAAAAGGAAATCAGCAGTAATGGAGATAAAATACAGATGAACAGAAGGGAAAAGGAAGGAAAAAATGGAGAAAATGTGAAAAGGGGAGAATTAAAAAGAGAAGGAAAGAATTGAAAAGAAAGGAGAGATCACAACAACGCAACTTATTCCAGAAGAGTAATGTATCCACAATTTCCACAGAGAAGAAAAAAAAAAATAACAAATTTATCTTACCTGCATTTTCCTTGACCTTGAATTGATAGAGGTTCTTTTCAAACACAGGCGAGTCGTCGTTGATGTCGGTAACCGAGATAACWACAGTGCTCGTCGCTTTGTCTTTTCCCCGAGCCACTTGAAGCTTCAATGTGTATTGACTCACTTTTTCACGATCCAGTGGTCGAGCGACAGTGATTTTTCCATTGCTATCAACACAGAAAGCGCTGTCTGTGTTGCCGCTTAGAAAGCTATACTGCAAGAATGCACTGGAATCATCGTATTCCGCTTTTACGGTGGTCACCAATTCGCCAACTCGGGCGTTTTCCTGGACAGAGGCGGAGTAAGAGGATTCTTTAAATTTTGGTGCCGGAAAAGCTTTCACTACTTCAATAGTTACAGTTGTTTTGCTTGTCTTCTGAGGTGAGCCACCATCTGATGCTACGAGGACGACGTTGGTATATGTTTCCACTTTGCTGTGAAAATTGTAAAAATTTATTCGGGTTAACTTAAGCCAGTAGTCGGGGGGAGGACTCAGCTCAGGACAATAGCCGGGTAGGAGGCACACAGCGAATTGCCAATTACTTGGAATTTGTGAAAATATAAGACAGTTTTTAAGAAGGCAACACTATGGATGGTTAACTTACGTTAGCTTTGTTTTAGTCATCAATGTTCCTTTTTCACCATCGATTTTGAAAAGGTTAATCCCACCTGAAGATGAATCGATAGAGTACGTCACTTTTCCATTGTTGCCAGCATCTAAGTCGATAGCCTTAGCCTATAAATGATATAGAAACATATTAATATGATGGTGATTATGATGATACTGATGATAATGATGAAGATGATGATGATGATAATGATGATAATGATGATAATGATGATTATGATGATGATAATAACGATGATCATAATAATGTTGCTTGTGATAATAATGATGATGATCACGTTGAGCTGCACCCTCGCTATTATTATGATCATCGTTATTATCATCATCATCATCATCATTATCGTCATCATCATCATTACAATCTTTGCTCTCAGTCTCAGCAATACAACTCACCCTTCCAAATACTGTGTCTGCAGGAGAATAGTTGTCGACTGTGTAATACTTGGGATTCTTTTCAAAAGTAAACTGAGGCACTTTGTTATTGACATCGCCTACAGTTACAACACATTCCACATTCTTAACCAGTTCGATACTTCCTCCACTATGCTTGGCACGAATGATTAGCGTGTAAGACGACTTGCGTTCTCTGTCCARCGATGAATCCAGAAACACTTGTCCATTGCCATTGATACGGAAGATAGCTGTTCCGCCTTCCTTGTACCCTCCGACCAGTTCGTAGGTGATGCCGCTAGAACTACCGGATTTSGTTGCAGTGACTCTCACGACYTCGGTGTTAAGAGGTTTGTCTTCCAATATTGATGCCGTGTAGCTGTCTTGGTCAAATTTCACAGGAGTATCTGATCTGTCATAAGAAGACACCTTAACGACGACTTCAGCTGCTCTTCCACCTGAAGAGAAGGAATATTTTGGAATTAAATCAATTTTTTCTGAGCATCAACTATATCAGCTTTTTTCTGTCCCTTGATGCTTCGCGCACGATATAGAGACGACTGGAGAAGAGTCACRACATTGACGTCACATTACGTGGCTTCACGTAGCTTGACGTCACAAATGTCACGTGGCATCATGCTATCATCATATCGTGTCACGTAACGGCACAAKTGCATGTCACGCCAGATAACGTCCATCCCCAATCACTTAAACCATACCAAGCCTAGTGCTCCTATTACAAGTCAAGTCTCTCACCTCCATCGGTAGCTTTCACTTTAACCTCGAATACTGTGTTGACTGTTAATTTGCTGGCGGTGGACATTACACCAGTGTTGACATCTAAATCAAACCTAGAAAAAATTAAAAAGAAATAGGGATGAATGAGAATGGGAATAAAAATATAGAATATCAAAAAGACAGTAAAATCTATTGTTAGTTGTAAGAAGARAGTGAAATAGAATAGGAATAAAAAGAATCAGAAGAAGAAGAAACATAAGTTCTTAATTCTTAACTATAATAGATCTCTTGAAGCTTTCTACGTCATGTACCGTACGCGCAATGCATTGTAGGATATGTTTGGGACAAAACATGGCAGGTTTCTCTAGACMGATACCACAATGCATTGCAAGTCAAGGCTAGAGCTAAATAGAAACAACTAGAATGGGAAGTAAAAATACAATAAAAATACAATTACACAGATAAGAAAATATGAGAGGAACGTGGAAGGGTTTATGCACTGCAGCCATTAAACCTTAACCCCCCAAACACAGACTATAATACTAATGGTTGTAAACATCTTACCAATTGTTAGCAGTCACTAATTGATACGTTACTTCTCCAAACGTGCCTTTATCCCTATCYGTTGCAGAAATSGTCAAGACATTTGCATCTTTTGCAATGTCGCTATACACYGACACCCAGTAGGAAGTCTGGCTGAACACTGGATCATTGTTGTTCTCGTCTTTTACTTCAAGGGTCACATCRGCTTGYGCATATAAATTATACAGATTCTTATCTGTTGCTCTCATTGCAAATTGAAACTGAGGYGTCACAGAAGTGTCCAATGTTTTTTTGGTGACAACATTGCACTGATCGCCATCRCGTTTTGCAGAGAGGTATTCGAGGATTTTTAAATCGTTGATATTTTCCAGGGAGCAAATGAACTGCTCAGGGGCAGTGTCCTGGTCGATGATTTTGATACCAGTTCTAATGGTTGTTCCAACAGGTTTTGACTCCAAAACAGAAACACTATAATCCTGCTTGCTGAATGTCGGCGGATCCTTTTGGGATAATACTGAAATAACAATGTCAGCAGAAGCGGTTTTCTTGGAAGTGAGACTTTGGGCTTCAACTTGGATYTGATACTGGTCATTCTCATCATAGTTAAAACTTTTTGTAGAGGAGAGCCTTCCTGCAAAAATCATAAATAGAAAAAATGAAAAACAAATAAAAAAATGGGAAATGAATAAATGTGAGCTGAAATCACAGTAGAAACAATGGCAGTGAATGATTACTGACTGTTTAGTGCCCAATATTATTTAGTTTTACTCATGCACTTATATTTTAAAGATATAGATATACACGAAGTACTTGAATATTGATCAGTTTAACAAATCTCTTAAGAGATCATTGGAAATAGTCAATCTGAAACCACTTAATTTGCAAAAACACTTGAATTTAGAAGTGCATTGTCTGTCATTATAAAGAAACATTAATTAACGACAATTTTGCTACAACCTTAACATAAATATTCAAGAATTATGGAATCACTTGAATTGAAAGTTAGTTTCAGGAACTTACACGTTGATTTATGTCACTCTGTCTATGACATCATCAACAGTGAATGCATAAACAAGTTACTTCATAATTTCATAATATTTCTCCAATATTTTTGCACTAATTGAGCAATTCAATAAGTCAAAGCAACTAAAAAATAATAACTGATATATATCAATAGTAACACACAATGAGCAAACATATTCTAGAATCTTTTCAGAAAAAGAATAATTATAGCTGAAATAGTTACTTCATAATTTCATAATATTTCTCCAATATTTTTGCACTAATTGAGCAATTCAATAAGTCAAAGCAACTAAAAAGTAATAGCTGATATATATCAATAGTAATTACACACACACTGATCAAACATTCTAGAATCTTTTCAGAAAAAAAAATAGCTGAAATAAATCAATAGTACTTCAACACACAGTGATCAAACATTCCAGAATCTTTTTAGAAAAAAAGTAATAGCTGAAATATATCAATAGTACTTTAACACAATGATCAAACATTCTAAAATCTTTTCATAAAAAAAGTATAGTTGAAATATACCAATAGTACTTTCTCACACAGCGATCAAACATTCTAGAATCTATCAGACAAACAATACCTCACATGCTGTTAGTACTTGGATTAAATGTCATGGTTGGATCATCATGACTTAATACCAGTCTATTATTGTGTACATCCCCACCCTACCCCTCCTACATTTTATTAGCTTGGTTTGAATGCTTCTACCAACTACATAAAGACAACTGTCATGCATATATGATTCTATAGTTCAAAACACTGGATTCAAACTTCTTGCCACTTTTTTCCCTGTATTGTTGTTATTATGTATGTTAAAAATATTACATGATATGATATGTTGACAGAAAATAAGGATTTGAATCTAGCATATGAGCTGAAAATATGGATTTGAGCCAAGATAAGGAGGAAGTGCTCTTTGAGGCTATAATGTTGAAATTAAACAAAAACGTTTTAGTGTACATGGTATAATTGCATATTAATATATGTCAAGGGGGACTATCCATTATAATGATTAGTAGATTTTATCCAAGTTTAAAAAATAGCTGAATGATGAGATTTTTTTACGACTTATAAGTTGAAACAGAAAATCGATCCAGGTATTTCGAAATTTCGAATAAAATYGACAATTCATTTCAAAGGGATTATGGGATTAAATTATAATTTCTAAATAGTGAAAACCCCAGGCTAAAAAAAACATTCTGGAATGCATCCAAATAACTTATTTGCATACATTTTTAAAATAAACCATTCTGGTGTTTATATATTGAAAACACGGAAACCATTCCAGTGTCAGTTTGGATACCATTCAAGTGCTTTTGGGTGTGAATTCCAAATTGCGGTCAAAAATTATCCTAAAAAATGAATTTCAATAAACGGAAAGCTTCGAATGTTTTCGTGATATATTTTCAGTATTTAAATTTACATATCAAGTTTATGAACAAACACATCAAAATAACTGGCGGTTTACATTAGACGAATTGTGACTCTTTCACAGCTGACTGACTTCTCGACTTGCGATAATTGAATTTCAAGTTGTGTTTTGTAATTTCCAAAAGTTAATGTAKATGAATAGAAAGCAAAACAATCTCAAAAAATAAAACACGAAAATTTCATTTTGATGTTCGTGACCGAASGGAGAACTAAACAGAATGTCAAAAACGCCCAAGTTGTCAATCGTAAGTGTCCGCTAAACTGTTTTCCATGCATGACTTCTGCCACAAGTGAGCGTTAATTAAGTGACTACTAATAGCTTATAAACACATCGTTGGAATTATACCTTTAAGTTAGAAACATCCACATTAAAAAAGRATGTACATTGCCTTAAACAACATTATTGTAAGTCATATATTTGGATATTACGATAACTGTTAAATAACCCCCCCGCACTGATGTTAAATATTTGACATTTCTACGACGCGAAATCAAGGGCGAGCGTCCAATGTGTAAACCGATYGGTCTTAAATGCGCCAAGATGTTCGAGCAAGCCGGACAAAAAAGTTCAACAAGATTCTGGCTTAATAACCCAGATGTAACGGATATACTGTTGTATATTATCAACCTTAGATTTGACCTTCATAAGCACCTACAACAAGGTCTTCAGAAATTGTGACAATCGACTAAATTATCTTATTAAAAATAATATCCACGAAGACTTTAATCAAGCTAGATCTTTACCCTCATCAAAATGAGCTCGTACTATATATTTTTTCCATTWTAAGATAATCTAATCGAACAAGGATTTCAAAACAGAGGTCTCAGCACCGTTCAAATTAGTTGCACCCAGTGATCAATGTTCAGCGGTTACAAAATTATTAATAGTTCAACATACCYGAGTTTTTATTTATCGCAAACACGTTGAGCTCACTCGACAACTTCGACAACTGATATGCCACAGGCGACAGACTTGAATCCACTGCCGCAATGCAAAGTATATTAGACACAGGGCCTTGGTTTTCTGGAACTGACACCGATTTGTAAGCGGCTGTGTTCATGAAAGTTGGGGCWGAGTCCGCTCTGCTAGTGACTGTCACATTCACCTGTCCGGCTGCAGTTTTCCCAGATGACGTTGCTTGAATGGTCAACTCAAATTCAATTTCCCCGCGCGATATTTCAAGGCTACGCCTTGTTCGTATTACTCCAGTAGAGCTTTCTATTTTGAACGCAGTTTGAGAGTTTGTGATCGAGTACGATATGGTAGGATTTTTGTCGGGGTCTTCAGCGCGCACTACCGTTACAAATGTATTCTCGGGGGCTTTCTCGGGTACTTTAGCRACGTACATTGGTTCRGTGAAGWATGGATTATTGTCATCCTTGTCTTTTACATTAACCATTAAATAAAGGTTACCAGACTTCGGGAAAGTAGCCTTATCCTCAGCCTTAATGACCATATCGTACCAAGTCCGTCCTTCTCGATCTAATAAAGCATCGGTCTGAACTTCTCCCGTATTAGGGTCCACTTTGAAAATTCCCATCCCTGACCCTTGAATGATAGAGTACACTATCTGCTTGTCTGGCCCTCCAGTGTCCTGATCTGTTGCACTAACAGTGGTGACTGATGTACCCTTAGCGACATCCTCTGATACCTCTACAAGCTTTTGCTGGGGATTAAATCGCGGCGCATGGTAGTTCTCGTCTACGTCTAAAACATCGATTATAAGTTGTGTATCAGCTGTGAGACCATTGCCGTCTTGAGCGCGCACGTTCAACGTGTATTGATTGCTGCCGCTAAGTTTATAATCCACTGTTTTGGCCAACGTGACAAGACCGCTGCCGCTGTTTATATTAAAGTCGGTACTRCCAGACCCGCTTAGAGTGTAGGTGAGCCTCTTGTTCGGTCCAGGAGGATCGTTATCAACGGCGTTAATCAACAGCAACACTCCACCGATAGGAAAGTCCTCTCTTATGCTAGTAGTATACGAATCTTGAGGGAAAATCGGYTTGGTRTTTGTACCAGGATCAGAGCTGTCGGGCGGCGGGTAACCCGCTATGTCGCGCTGAATATTTACGGTCACCGTTGTAGAGCTGGATTTTGTCGGGTTWCCACGATCTCTTGCGTACAGAGTCAATGAATTCGACTGTCCTTTGGCATAGTCTAACGTCTGAGCMACTTTAATAAGRCCTGTGATAGCGTCCACCATGAAATAATCATTCAGTGGCTGGAGGTAATAGTAGAGACCACCGTTCGTACCTACGTCTGGATCGTTAGCAGTCACTCGAACTACCGACGACTGAACAGCGGCATTCTCATCGACTATTTCTGTGTATGAACTCTTAGCAAACTTCGGTTCGTTATCATTCGCGTCTTCGATATATATCTTAATCTTTGCAGGTTTCCTTGCCTGTTTAGCCTGGACCGTTAATGTTATGTATGGATCATCGGGATCACGGACGATGGGGACGTTTGTAGTCTTAAGAACTACGAATGTACGATCTTTTTTCACAGTTTCAATTTGAAAATATTTCTTTTCGTTTCCACTGACAATTTTATATTGATCAATCCCYGAGGTRTCTCTGTCTTCTGCAAAACATTTTTCAAGTCCATCAACTATAGTATTCGCTGGAGATCCTTCTCGTACGCGGCCCTCGTAAACGTTCGCTCCAAACGTTGGTTGGTAATTATCAATATCTTTGACTGTTACTTCCAAGGTCCAGGCTATACCTCCTTCATCCTGTCCCTGAGGTCTTCGGACAATAGTCAGGGCATATTTATTAGGTCTATCGATAGTATACACTAAAGGTTGTTGCGTTGTCACGGCTCCATCAGATGAAACTGCAAATAGACGGTATGCAGTGTCTTCATCGTACGAGCGRATAAGCTTGTATTCCTGGCCGCTCGGAGGCCTTTGAAAGCGATAGACAACAGAGCCTGTCTTTTGATTCTCCATAACTTCTTCTGATATGATTGTGTTCGTTTGTCCATTGCAGAAGATTAMAGAACTGGACAAGATAATAATTGTAACGGCGCAAAGCCCCGTGTGACGGGCTACCATGATTGTTTATCTTGATGTTTCGTGTTGAACGAWCCTGTCGACCCGAAGAAATCAATCCTCAMAGACCGAACAGCTTGCTAATTTGACCACAACATGGGTTTAACACAAATCACGGATAAACATGGAGTTTTTCAACGACAGTACTCCAAAAAGTATCTATTCGAGAGACGCAATCGCCTCAAACAGTTTCACCGGCCGTCTTGTGTGTTCCTTGCTATTGTTTCGTGCATTACCAAGCCGACCAATCGAGGTGGGGTTATCTAACAGACTGCCAATCAACGCTCAAAGCTCTTGTCACGGTCATGCAAGAAAAATGCTTTTGTCTTTGAATTCTTATTCTTTTGTCTCTTTTATTTATAAACGTTGGCTTTTCCATTACCGTTGATGACATAAGGAATTCGCTTGTTCACTTATTAGTACGCTGTGCTAAAAAAAATTCACGATTATTTTCGTATTAAGCATGACTCACTCTGAGTCGTCAATGTGCCGGCRACTAGTAAYCAGYTGGCGATGTTACAGAGCTACACTCSTTCTAATTAAGCAATTTTCAAAAGCTAATTTYACAAAAAACGCACATAGAAAAAAAGAAAATATTTTCTAAATGTCTGTGGAATTCTTTATTTTAKAATCGAATTTTCAAGATCAACAAGATAWTATGCATCAAGAAAGCMAGCCGTTCCCACGACTGGCATTTCAAGGCGCTTGGAACAATGATAAACAAAAACTGATTAGATATGCTCTGGTAGGATTTGACAAAGACYGACTATAGAAAGCTCTTGAACTGTTATCTCGGATTTGCAGTGCTGTCAACAGGCTCACGCCCCCYGACTGTGCTGTTAAGCGATATACGCGAATGTAATGGAGTATTTTGTACACCACAGTTAGCCTTGATGGTAGATTTTAAGAGATACAACTCCCCCTAATGGCTTAATTGAATCGTAATTTTTTTGTTCATTCACTTTACCGCACTCGAATACCAATTGGCTGACGATTTATTCAATTCATATCGTTTAAACTATGCAATAATGTTCAAAATAATTGAAAAAAAACCGTTAAAATTCTGTAGAAACTTACAGCTGGCGGCCCCGGCCGGTCGGCTAAATTGCAAAACAAATCCTTGCCGCACGGATAGACAAAACTGAATATTTACTAAAACCACATCTACTAAACTTTGTTACTACAATGTTGTTATAATCCCCAAGCTGAGTAGMTTACCTATTATATTTCTAATCATTTACATTCAAATATTTTATATTTTTACCCCTGACATTTCCTGTTTTGAGATATTTATTTTCGTGATACTCGAACTCAGTCGAAACTTAGGTTTTGTATAGGCTAGCGGGAAAAACTGAAGACGCGGTGCTGCGAGCGTAGCGGGGAGTAAAGCCACTTTCATCTCCGATTAAATACATCGCAGTCTGTTCTTAAATCATCGCCCAGTTTTGATTGGCTATGATATGAAACACATCAGCTGGGAATCCTTGTTCGTCGTTTTTCAGACACACTTCAAACTGCAMTATTCTGCACTATATCATAAAAAGGGCTTTTTGAAGTGCTTTTAAATTSTTGACGGACATTATTGGATTTGTGAATTTAACCGAAAATTCAGAACCTTTATAAATGTACAAATCTTCCGTTCCTTATACCCGGCTACTTATGATATCAGACGCACTTACACTATAACACTATAATCTCCATTATATAATATATGTTAACATACCTCGATATATAGCTATACAAAACGAGCTTTTAAATAAAATATACCTCGTTTTTATCTTTTATGTATRGTGTGAAAGGAAAACGCACGTGGTTCAATAAGCGCGTTTCTATTCTTAGGCTATCAATCATAATTGTGGTACACTTAGCATTATATTTGTTACATTGTTATGAATAGCCACAAGCAACAACGAAAGTGATATTGATACATAGAGAGACACTTTTCGTCCAGTGGAATTTAATACGCGGGCACACCGAGCAATCATACGAGTTCGAGTATCAAACATTTCTAAGAAAAAAACCGATGCGTCTAGTTTGTAAGAAAATCAAGTAAATTATGTAACTTATCATGATAAGAATTAATTGCCGAGTTTGGGAAACAGGATGATTTGTAATGCAGTGGAATTTCCCTCGCTCGCCATCTGTTTTGAACAGATTGATTTAACTAGCTGTKTTCCTGCGTTTTTGGAATTCCGTTTCATCGATAAGTTAAGATTCGTATCGGGGTATTTTTTAAAATGACYTAATATCTTACTCGCTATGCATAGAATCTAGATCTCTCCTTCCGTTAAATCATGATATATACCACCAYATCACTGTTAAAGCTCTGGTAAAGGTATAAGTCTTGGTAATTCGTTGTARTGTTTATAGCCTAGTTAATTGGAAAATTCTTATGCAAGCAAATCTGGCGCAAATGATATCCAAAAAAGGGAAGAATCTGCCTTCTTGAATCCACAGCCTTCTTTGATAAACATAAGCAACTTTACCATTTAATCTTTTTTATTTTTTTGCTTCCCTTCATTCAAGAAAAAATGGTTGTATCATTAAAGCTACCAATTGTACTTTTCCAGAAGGTGTTTAGTTTTTGAACGGTTTGATGCGATCAAAAACACTCCTCAGTACATGTCTTATCGATCGTCAGTCAACTAATGGAATTCGTGCTAAGCCGTTGTGGACAGCTATTTCTGGTTTTGTTTTAGCTTTGTCCCAACAGCATTCAATCTTTTAATTGGTGCGGTTTGACATGATCTAAAAGGTTATCTTATCGTTGTTATATACTAAGCCAYYGTCGACAGYTATTTCTTGTTTTGCTACCGGTACGCACCCACAACAATAAAAAACCCCACCACCCGTTGGTTGARATTGTTTGAACTAGTAGGTGAGGTAAKAAAATGCCCTACATCCCTGGCGTCTCTACTATAACAACAGCTCGAGGAACTGTGAAGGAATTTGTAAAGAAATCGTCGTAATCTGACGTCACAACGCAAGCTCTTAGCGATGCGTTAAGGGACGTCTATTTTCTTTCAAACGTGAAGCGCTGAACCAAAAAGTATCGCGTGTTTTGTCTACATATTTGGGTAATAAAAATGATCAAAGTCGGCGAATGTTTCTGGAAAAAATTTAAAAACAAAAAACAAGTATTGCCCTCCCCTACCCTAGAAAGGTTGAAATTTTACGTGAGAAAGCGAAAAACTCACAGCACAAAATGAGACAAGAATCTGCGTCTGAACGACATTGCGGAAATGTACTTAGTCGTCAGTTGACAGGACAATTCTTAGGCGGTAATGGATAGTTGATAAGATCCAAYGATACAACGGACGAATGAGCACATCGCAACTACAAACGCATCTTAGTCCTACGTAAAGAATCTTACGCTACATGATTTGGCGTATCGTCAGTATGCCGATWAGCGATTTTTATGTCTATCGTTCAAATATGCGTGATTTTTTACGTTTCGAATCAGTAAGTCGCCGTTTGCCCCAAGCGTAATTCTACGTTACGTGAACATACGTCAGACATACGTACATACACGGGATACACTGGAAAAAAACGCGCGCTTTAAAGGTTGTAAATTTGATGTAAATATGATGTAAGTGTCCAAAATTCTGTAAATTTGATGTAAATGATTTCCATTAAATTTACAGAATTTTGGACACTTACATCATATTTACATCAAATTTACAACCTTTAAAGCGCGCGTTTTTTTCCAGTGTATCCCGTGTATGTACGTATGTCTGACGTATGTTCACGTAACGTAGAATTACGCTTGGGGCAAACGGCGACTTACTGATTCGAAACGTAAAAAATCACGCATATTTGAACGATAGACATAAAAATCGCTTATCGGCATACTGACGATACGCCAAATCATGTAGCGTAAGATTCTTTACGTAGGACTAAGATGCGTTTGTAGTTGCGATGTGCTCATTCGTCCGTTGTATCATTGGATCTTATCAACTATCCATTACCGCCTAAGAATTGTCCTGTCAACTGACGACTAAGTACATTTCCGCAATGTCGTTCAGACGNTAACCCTAGGTTTTCCCGAGCGTGACTTTTCCTGGGTTACGCGAACTATGAACTTCTAAGAGATGTACATTTAAATGACGTAATTGTCTTCATGTGGTCTCACGGTTTTCCGCAACAAAAAATTGGAATGTCACCAGAAACATACTCGGAATATCCTCATRATAAGAGAAAAACCTACTAAAGTCAAGATATGCAAAGCACAGTAATCCATCACTGACGGTTTTAGATATGAAAGCGATAGGAGGATTTTAAATCCATTAGCGTGATTAAATAACACATCGACTTGTAATTATCTCTGGTATGAGACCACAAACAAACAWGTCGTTTTATGGAATTTATGACGTCAGAATGCGACAACACCCACAGTGTTCTCTATATGACGTCACATGACAGGCTTATCCATATGTATATATAACAATCTCTTACCCAGAGCCCGCACTTTTGCCATCCAGCGGATGTCAATGCGTGAGACTCTGGAGAAATCGACTGGATTTGCGACGCTTTTCCGTCGCAAATTATGCAAATGAGGTCAAATTTGTTTTCTGTGTTTAGAGCATTAAAATTACAAAAATGAAAATGGTTTAGCAAACAACTTAGTTTAGAAACGATATTTACACCTTTTTAAAAACAAAAATGTGTGAAAACATGTGTAGTTATGCGAAAAAAGGATGATTTTCTTGACTAATRAGGCGAGCGTGCGCTGGCGACTTGAAAAACSGAATTGAAAACAATGCGCTCYCRCGTCATTTTCAACCAATCACAAATCAAGAAAAAACKGACTCCTCCAGAGTCTCTCACGTATTGAATTTCGCTGGATGGCAATAGTGCGGGTTCTGGGTACGAGATTGTATGTTTGAGTCACCTGAAAAACCAGGACCAAAAGAACCAGGACCAGGAAAACCAAAACGACTTGATCTTATACAGGAAGCCCAATAGCCTTTAGATCACCCTCTTCCTTCATTTCCTTTCTTATCTTCCTTATTGATGTCCTAAATATGTAATTAAATTTCAATTTAGTAAATCTTAAGTAAGTCTAATAAGTYATTATGTATATTTATTTATATTTATATTCCTGAAGAAATTCATAATAAATTATGTATCTATTCTTATTTTAAAATATGTATTAAAAGAGCCCTAAGCTCGCTTTCAATAGACAGTGGCTCCTTTAGCCAATGCACACT